GACTGGGTTAGCCAAAGGGAACATGGGAGACAGTGTTCAAAACTCATGTCCATGTAAGAAGACATTAACCAGTGTGAAAAGTGCGAGTCTTTGGCATGAGCGCTTTTGTTCTGTGCCATCCACCATTAGCAGGTTGGCGCGGTCGCAAATTACCATCTCTGCTTCCAGGAGACGCGCTTAAGTACGAAAGAGGAGGTGAAGGTCACAGGAGATTATCAAAATTAAAAGTTTACAGGTCATGAAATTCATTCCAATTATGGTAACATGTATTAATTAACCAGCAATTTATTCCCAAAATTTGATGTGAAACAGATGAAAGGTGGATCCCTGAAACTTTAGAGAGAGTGCACTATTAATATCAATAACACAAATGTATTTTTAAACAGATGTGCAAAGGATGTAGGGAAAACCAATACTTGTCATCACCCACAGACCACAGAAGACTATATTTAACTTTTTGCTCTTTCAACAATGACCATTATTTATTACAAGCCCTTACCGACTCTCCCCAAAGCAGTGAATAAAGGCAGAAAGAGGAACAAGCAAAACACGGCTCAAAAACGCGGAGCAGAGGAAGTATAAGTGCTCCGCAGAAGGTTGGCTTTGTCACCTCTCTCTCACTCAGGGGGGCGAGCAGAGCGTCCAGGGAAATTACAGCAACCAGAATGCATCGATTTGTCTGCGCCAATGTGCATGTGTGCATTCCTCTGACTGTGTTGGTCTTTGTACTGCAATAAAGACAACAGGCTACATCTGCAAAGAGACAGTGACAGTCTTGTACTCGCGTCTTCTTACTTCGAACGGTTTCTTGTGTCTTATAATTAAGAGCCAGCAATAAGCCCTCAACCTCTCGCAGCATGCCTTTGCATCTCACACCTCACGCTGTGTGGCTGCTTGTCTTCAAGCATTTCCTCCTACTTCCTGTTATTCCCAGAAAAAAAGGAGTTAACACTTGCAAGTGTTACTGCAAGAGAATTACAACAGACACACTTTAAAAGAATTATATTAATGATTGAATAATTACTTTTGGGGCTGAAACCTAGTTGGAATTGTCACTGGTTGGTGAGTGTCGGTAAAGAAAAATCTAAATTAGTCTAAAGTATTGTCTCGATGTATGTCATAGTGTGTTAACTTGTGGTGTAATCCCTCATTCTTCAATAGTGATCCATCGCAGAGCAAGTTTCAAGTCATCAGGACACTTTTGAAACTTGCTCTGTATCAATATACATAAAAACATGTTATTATTGTTAATTCAATGCAAATTCAACCAATGCATTCCTCTAGTTAACTTCATATTACTCAAGACAATACACAATCATTTCTCATTCTCGTCCAGCCCAAACTGGCAGAGCAAACCCGCATATTGCTTTTTGCATTTTTCCATCCAAATTATTTTGCTTCTGTTCCTCAGTTTCCTCTCACTGACATGACAAGTTTTATTAATCAGCTAGCATTTGTAAAATCCTGTCTAACCATAATTGATCGGATTGCAGCAGAGGCTTAGCATAGCAGCTAGAGCAAACACACACAATGATTCAGGAACAACAATCTGGTCATGTCACCTAATAGTAGAGCTGGTAATAATTAGAATTGCGTATAATGGAAGTAGCATTCTCTTACTTAAACTATACTTACAGTATTTTCAATTTGGAGATTTTTTGCGGCTTTTTACATTATTTTTTAATTTACATGGAGACGCGACGGGATTGTCTGTTCGGCATTATCAGATCATCCGACCTCCACAGTAAGAATAACATGTGTTCAATTCTATTAAAAACTCACTCAACAATACTGTATGAAGATCAAAACATCCGAGGTGAGTGGGTGTTTTAGAGATACAGTTAATCAGCCAAATTAAATGGATTTTAGATGCATTTTTAATACATGTTTACTTGTCCTACGTGTGTCTCCTGCTCCTGTAACAGCTGGCCAGCACACATCTGCACCAAACTAGCACCAACTACACTGAAAACTCCCACAGTGCACTGACATTTGTGTTTCTCTGTCTGTCTGGCACCCTCTCCCTTTCTCTGTCGGTTCAAACAAGGCTACGAAGGTGACCCTGAATCGCAGTCTGCATCGTGTGTGTGGATGTGCTCGTGTGTTTGTCCCGGTAATTAACACCAGCCTCTAATGAAGTCCAGCTGCTCGACGAGAGGACTGAGCTCGGGCCAAAAACCAGGTCTGGTCCCATCCTCTTGCCCCGGTGTCTGCACGTGTGTGTGTGTGTTTGTGTACGACTCTCCCATTGATCTGCCTTCACTGGTCTCCCTCGTCTGTGTGTGTGTGTGGCGCGGGATCGTCTGCAGTTCTCATCTCTGCGTCGGCTGTTTGGGCTCCTGCTGTCAGGCATCAGTATGAATCTAACTCACTTCATCTGGAATCACAGTCGGACCTGACGGCATCCTGCTTTGCTTACATCTTCATTCTCTCATACCTACTACACTGACGCGTCGCATAAGTGAATCTTCTCGGCTTTAATGTACGATCTGTTAAATAAACGCTGCACTTTGTACTCTTTATACCAGCTGAAGTACAATTTCAAACGATCTTTTTGGGATTATTTTTGTTCCTTTATAATCAATAACACATTTTGATGTTGTTTATGTCATTGCGTCACTGTCGTTAATTAACAATTTTGGTTTTACAGAAGTTGTCAATCATTTTTTTTGGGGGCTAAAACATTGTTGTAATTCAGGAAAGCGTCACTAAAGATGTATTCTGTAACAAAAAAAATGCATATGATTTGGAAATATTTTTTGAGAGCACATTTCTCAAGTAAGGTGACTTTAACATATGACCAGGGACAGTGGAGGAAAAAAGTTTACCTCTTGTTTCAATTGATAAAACATAATTGTACAAGCAAACGTAAAATTTGATTTAACGTAAAAGAAAATAAAAAAAATATATATTTTAATACAAATTTGTATTAAAAGAATTTCTATGAGAAAATTGCTCATTTTCTCCATGGCTACTATTTTCTACTGAAGATGAAAGTACTGACTGATATTTAAGCCAGATCAAACTTTCACTTTTCTTTATTGATACGCTTTTCTAATTTTAAGCCTAAAATATTTGTGTTTCCAAAGCTTTTGCCACACCACCTTTTAAGCTGTAATGTATTTGACCGATTACAGCCCTAGTATTTATTCAGCAAAAGTGCAAAAATGTAGACCAACAAGAGCCAAACAAGACATATTACAGTTTTAATTTCACACTTTCCTTCCCACACGCCACACGCACCGACTGCTGCACTACCGTTTCAACTTTTCCCTCACCACTCACGCAGTTCTAATAACATAATGATGATCAGTTTAGCCTACTTATACATGTAGCCTGATTACATTACTGTACGGCCCATTCTCTCTCTCTCACATACACACACACCTTGTCACACCCGCTCCAGCTGTGACAGATGTGCCTGTCACTGGAGAAAATAAATTCAGAATAGTTAGTGAATTAAGCAGGGAGTTAATTGTTGCTTGGCCCCTGTTTATGAAGCGCGTAAAGCCGAAGCGCCTTGTTTGTCTTGTGAAAATTAGCCAGCAGAGATAGAGAGCTTGTTCTCTTTAGCAGCTGGTGGAGCTACACCTGGAAGGGTTGAGACAAAAAAAAAACCCGGGAGATGCCGCAAGGGAGGGGGCTATACGACACAGATTTGGTCAGCTTTCTCGAAACACACACAAAATGCATAGCGCTAACAAAGACATCACTTGACAACTTGTATATGTGGAGGCAGCTGATGTAGCATGTTAGAAAACTCTCCCAGGCAAACTTCAAAACGTGTCATGCACATACACACAGTCATATCCTGGAAGGCCCACTCCCAGTCTATTTGTCAGTGTGTCCTATTAGGTTTCCAAACAGCTTGTAATGACTGGTAATAAACTGCAGAAGAAGAGGAAGGTAAATCAAGCGAGAAGACGACAAAATGAGCTCTCCAGGGGGGCCCGCACGCTCCCAGCATTACAAACACACACAAACAATGACTGGGGTTGTAAATATAAAGGCTGAATCAGGAAGAAGGAATTGGCAGGTTACCGACGTCAACTCGGAATAACAAGAGGTTGCACAATGTTGGGGATAAAAACATACAATTAGGTATTTGTGCCAATGGCAGAATGTGGCTTGAGGCCTCCAATGCCATATGATTAGATGGTTTCAAGGCTCGCCAATTAAACGGCAAAATGTTGATATAAATTATTGGGTAGGGCTGTGCCAGAAATCAAAAGATCGCAATCCCAATTTGGCAGATCAAGATGTATTGACACCTGAATTGAAATAGACAAGCACCAATAATGTGGTAGTAACAGAGGGGCTTAAACTCATTCATTTAGGAGGAAAAATAACTGCACCAGGAGGACAGAGATTTTACTTCTACAGTATTTGCTGGACTATTACTTGAACTCTGTAGCATAATAGAGAAGCAGCCAAAGGATGTATTTTTTATTTTGTTGTTATATCAGGGGTTTGGAGCGCAGGAATGAATTGGAAAAAGCAAACAGCTGTTGATCTCCAAAGCTTATGACATTCCTGCTCCTTGCCTAGCCCCAAAATGAAAATAAAACATGTCAACAAGAGCTGCAACATTGATAATCAATGAATCTATTTCTTTGATTCAATGATTCCATATTTAACATGCAGATATGTGATTTTTAAACAAAATTTGATCCAGAAAAAAGTTGCTTGAGGACTTTCTAATAGATTGTATCAAGTATTGTCTGAAATATTATTAAACTGAGACATTTATGACGTAATTACTGCTCTATTTGAGTCTTAAAATCACATCTTAAGACCTCCTTGCAAATCTCAAGGGGAAAAACTAAACTAAACTAAACATCTCCGCTCTTGCTATAGTGGTTAGTTGTTGAAAAGACTTCACTAGTTGATGTTACAGCTCTAGTGTTTACAACAAAACCTCTCAAATATAAAATCACTGAAGAATGTTGCTGTGTAAAAGCCGGTATGTTGTCATTACATAAAGTGGGGTTGTTTATGTCTCATCCCTTGCCTTTTATCCTCCCCTTTTTCCCCATCTCCTTCATCTCGGCCTCTGTAGTGTTCCCTCTTCTCGGTCCCTCCACATGCCCCTCCACACAACCCCCCCCCACCCCTCTCTGGCTCCCCTCCTCTGGTGCCACGGCTCGCTGGCTCCAGGTGGCGTGGGATCGAGGGAGAGAGGAGAGGGAAGGATGGATGGAAGGACGGATGAGAGACTGGGAACTCCGAAGACCAGAGGGGGTGGAGAAAGTCCCATCATCTGTTCGTATGCTCCCATCATCACACATGGAATCCAGGATGCAGCTCATTAAAGACACCTCATCATCATTTGTCATTTCAATATTATTAAACATCCTTAAAAACCTTGGAGTGGAAGATTTCACCTGCCTCAGAAAACGATTTGAGATCATATTTTTTAAAAATATTATCGGCGTTTGTCGTTTGCTGATTACTTTTCTGTGAGCAACGATAAAACAAATACAGGAATGTTTGACAATAGCCACCAATTATTCTGCATTTCATTGAATGTTTTTGTGATTTATTTGCTTAAAAGCTGGGGTATCTGACTTTCAAACCACAACAAATACAACTGCAGTATCTCCCGTCTCTAGTTTGGTTCTAGCACTAGTTTTCTCATGTATTTTTAAGGCCTCTGTCACATCTTTAGATCAGCCTCTTCAGACAGAAAAAGTGAATAAAGGGGGATCATCATCCCGCAGCCAATCAGATATAAGCACAAATAGTCAAATAGTGACTCACAGGGGTCTTTCCCACATGTAAAAGCAAAAAAATAACAGACTTATATAGGGAGGAAGACAGCATGCTGTGGCCCAATTTGTTCACAACAATTCACATTTGCAAGACTCTTTCTGTTGGGACAAACAGCTATGTATTATGCAAGAAACACAGGAGTTAGGCTTTAAAGTCCTAGAATGCTTCAAAGTTATTTTGAAACCTCAAAAATATTATAGAAAAATAAGAGAAGGTTACTGAATCAATTTGAAATATTTTCTTGGGAATGTAAAGGCTGTGGAAGTGGACTTAAGTATAACACGAGGCTTTTTCTTTCCGCAGCACAGCGATATACTTTGACCCAGAGGTAAAGTTGTCCACAATGAATGAAACGCTTCCCTCAGTGCAAAGCCCCACACCCACCAGCTCTGTTTTGTGGGCCTTATTAGTCCAGATGCAGCAGGGCAGAAGAGAACAGCCACCGCGACCATCGCCGGTGGCAAACACACACACTTGATTCACTCCTGCTCTTAACATACACGACTGACCCCTCAACCACATTATCTACCTCCATTGACTCTAAAAGCTTCTTACTCGGCTCATTAAGTCTTCAGTGACACAAAATAACCACACCAGGCCCTGGTTACTACTGCACACAAACGCATGCGAGGGGTGAGGTGTGTGTGTGTGTGTGTGTGTGTGTGTGTGTGTGTGTGTGTGTGTGTGTGTATGTGTGTGAGTGAAACAGGAAGTGTGCTGGAGGAAGGACGGGGACGCTCAGAGCCACACCACCCTAGGGACGCCTGCTTAGACAGTAGACAGACATTACTAGCCAAGCATCACACATTTGACTGCGGGCTAATAGGCAAGCTTGAGTGAGTGCTCTCAAATGGCACCAACCTCCGGCTACAAAATAAAATAACAACCCTAGTCAACAGCCCTGACAAAAAGTAAAATGTACAATGTTAATATTGGATAAGAGAATGATTGCTAAAGCTATACTTTATACCATATAATGAATCCTCGTTTAAAACAGTATGTGTTACTATTATTGAATTCAGATATCCAATTGTTATATAACACTTAAAACTATCATGTGCTCAATAGCAAATATTATTCTTAATCAAATTAGTTGCAACTTAATGACAATGTAACCAGTAAAAGCATTGGAGCATTAAATTGACTTGAAAACAATGAACTGGACCATTATCTGCACACCTTTCTGATTGGCACATGTTTAGAAGCTAAGGAGTTGTCTCAACACTATTAGAGAGCACTGATGTAAATAGGTAAGTAAAGCTCATGCTGAGGACACATCATTAGCCAGCACTCTCTGCGGGGAGCACTTAGATCCAGGTGAGTGGCCACTGGATACCTCAGGCATTTGCAATTGTGTTGCCAGTGTGTGTGTGTGTGTGTGTGTGTGCGTGTATGTGTGTGCGTGCGTATGCGTGTGTGGAGGGAAGGACAATGAAGCATGCAGCTGCAGCCGGGACTGAGTAGGCTGAGGACTTAGGTGAGGGGTAACTGTGCATCGATTTATTAAAAACTGATTCTAATGAAAAGTGTCATTTAATTCACAATGAAAGAAACTATCTGTGCCTCCCATTTTCATGCAAATGTGCTCCTTTTCTTATTTTAGGTTAACTTCTAAAAATGTTTAAACATGAGATGCAATATGGGCAAGCAGTGGGACAAAGGGGGGTTGCCTTTCTCAAAGTGTGGGCTAGAGGTACAGAAAGGGAACAAACCTTGCCGACCGGTGGGCTCATCTATTGGGCATCCCATAGGAAGGTGGGGATGGGGAAGCAAGAAAAGGGGCAGTGTTAGACAGACTTTCACTCAGTATGTTCACATGCAAAGCACTGCTTGTGCTCATAACATGATCATCAAGGTAAATCCATATGAAAAAGAGAGAAGTGGATTCTGCTCAGACTTAAAACACTTAACATAAATAAATGTCCTCTTGTGTGACAAACTGTGCCTACATATAAACATACTGAGTGAATGATGACACCTAATCTCATGAGGGCAAGGAACATAAACTTGATAGAGAAAACTCAGATCTCCGGCCATCTCTTTGACACAAAAACATATTGGAAAACATCAATTTTTCCATCCAAACAACAAGGAACATCTTCTTAGTTTATTCTTTTGGACTTTATTTCCAAAATCTAAAATGTATTTTCTACAATAAAAGGTGAAAGCCTGGTATTGCTTGTGTTTAAACCCTTATAGAAGGCTTCCTACACACTCGGCAGGACCACTATAGCAGCTGTGACAATCTGACATATATAATTACACTAGTGTAGAGTACTTAATGCTGTCGTGTTAAAGTCCTGTAAGCCCTTATTGTAAAATAAATCAAATGTCTAAGTCTAAGACATTGACTGAACTTTATTTCATCTACCTATATAATGAAACTGGAATGGTGCACAAACAGTGCACGACCCCTGAGCTCAATAAAGCCCAATAAGGAAGTGCTCATGAACAAAGCTTTGCTCTAACTCACTCTGGCTCCTATTGACTTGCATTGAAAAGTAAACTCTTCTAGCTTAGTAACGGTACAGTATATGTCACAAGCTCCATGTTGAAAACAACACATATGTGGTTTAGCGCTCTCTTAGCCTGGTTGTACCACACCATAGTACAAATTACATTTCGTACTAAGGTCTGGACGTGCTCCATTGAGCTCCATTAACAGGTGAGAGGGGCTAACTTCTTTTGCAGATTGAAACGATTGGATCCGAGTTTACTGTGACGTATGTAGTGCGCTCGCGTGAGTTGTTAGCATTTAGCCTAGCCATCTCCTTTGCTGCTAACGGAGCCCGTGGGGAGTAGCGCCACAATCTTGACCAGCGATTACATTTGCTACACATTACTCTTGCTCCGGCTTCAATTTCTTGAGAGAACCAGACCGGATTACTTTACTATCGCGTCTCTCGCCATTACCAAAACTACAACTTGCCTGTTCGACGCAAACTCTTGACATCACCCACAACTATCTACAACACCTGCCTTCCACGCTCTCTGATTGGTCGGTCGAAATTCAACCGATTGTAATCGCTAACACAGGGACTAGACCCAGACGTTTCATGCAGTGAAATGATTGTTGAACGGAGTGTACGGATGGCTAAGGCCAGGCTAGCGCTCTCTATGATCCTGATGTTTGCATTTTGATATAGTCTAAATACAGATGTGGGCCTTATAACGAATGACCAGATGGCTTCATTATCAAGGTAAACTCCACTTTTCTCATATGAGGAAATTGGCTCCAGTTAGCAAATGTTCAAATCGGCTTCTTCCGCATTTGGCGAACACTGTGGGTTTGTCAGCAGTTTCCTCCTAATATACGGCCTATGAGCACGTTACTAAAAATACATATCGACTTCCAGCGTCACCTCCTCAGTTACAATGAAAAATCACTATGCTTGAATGAGCCATTACTTTCAGGAGCACGTCTGACATTATTAAAATGTGGGAGAATGAGCGTTACTATTTAAAGCTATTCAACATATCCAGAGCGAATAACAGGGGCCAACTAAGAACAATAGTATCAATGCTAACAATGCAGCAGTGGAGGGAATGGTGGACATGTCGATTCAAATGAAGATGCCCAGGAAAAGCATTATAATATTATGGTAAGATGTTATTTTACCTTTAAAATTTGGGTGGCTAGTGCCCTGAAAAGGGAGCATTTCCTAAGTGCTGTAAGTACATACTCATACGTGGTGTTTCCTGTCAGGAAAAGTGTACAGTAGAGTACCCACGCAGTGATACAAACTTGAGTGTCATCGCGCCTCTCCAGCGAAGCAGCACCTCCCTCTGCTCCAGCACTCCCTACTTTTTCTGTCATGTCTCATCTCCGTACTAACCCCCCTCACATCTCCTCTTTGTGAGAAGTCTCCCCCCAAGTGAGCTCAGCCAAAAACAAATAAATAGTGCCTATATTGTGTCTTCAGATGCACTTCCTCCTCCAGCGCCTTTCCCACCTGCAGCAGTGTTCGACACAGTCATCTCTGTGATTACACATGTTTACACTCAGGTGGGACATGCTCGGAGCACACACACACACACACACACACACACACACACACACACACACACACACCCCCCCCCTCTCTACAACTTGAAAAGATATTGTACACAACATAAAACAATGAGACCGAATCGCAGCAGAGAGGTTATTCCACAAGCAGAGAGCACGGTGAGCTAGTGTAGTATCCTGCCATATATGTCACATATTTTCTACATAAACACAGTTTAACTGCAGAAACTACAATACGGTAACATTACTGACACCATGTGGCAACAGCTAACAGAAGCCTCATATTTTACTGACAAGCCCTGCATAATTATTCCACTTCACGTATCTCATTTAAATGCTATGAAAGCCATGGCTAAAAACTGTATTGCAAATCAGTTTTGGAGAACACCCTAGAAGTCTATTCAGTTCATTTGCCCTTTTCACCTCTGTTTGCCTCCTCTGGTGCAGTGGTCTGGGACTCTCCCTTCAGGCCACGGCTGCAGCCAATGACCACATGAAGCTTTAATTAACTCCTGTGTTGAAGCTGGGGCTGGCAGGAGCCCTCCCTGTGAATCACTATCAGTGCAAGCATTGCAAAAGATGGAAATGTGTAATTTAAGTTTGAATAACTGTGAAGTGCATTAACAATATGAAAAATAGTTCTTAAAAGTGGCACATTTAAATCCTTGCAGACAGCTTGTAACATAACTATTGGAAAATTTAATTTAAATGATTATCAAATCAAAGCTCGAGACATTGTGCCCAAAATATGATTGGATTAGGAAATGTTTAACAACACAATCCCGTTATAATGGCATCCACAATTGCCCAAGTAGTCAAGGGTTAAGGTGTTACATTACACTAGAAAAAGGCCTCATCACAAATGGATGTGACTGAGGGTGTATGGAGGGGAGCTTTTGAAGTGCAGGGCAGAGGTGGTTCAAGTCAGAGAAGGTGAACATACAGTGTGTGTCTGTTATTGCTGAAACAGAGGCGAGATGGTGACGACATGATGGAGGATTAGATGGATGAGTCCAGGGGAGCAGCACTGGGAGAAGAAGCGCATTACACAGAGAAAAGAGAAAAGCCACTTGTTTATAATGTGGGTGAGAGCGAGGACATGAGGCCAGAAGAAGCAGTATACTAAATAAAAGATGACCACGACTGTACTTATGGTGTGTTTGTGGACCCAAGGGAGCGCAGCAAAAGTTACTCCAGCTGTACTTGTGTTCACAGCTTCCAGACATTAGCAGCGGACTGGGAGCTGTGTTAGCGCTTACAAACACACACACAGTGCATCAGTGTCTCTGAGAGCTGCTGTCAGGCCTGGCCCGAGCAGAGCCAAGGGGTTCCACTCGTTAATCTCCATGACGACAGTAATGCCAGGGCAGCAGATTGGCTATGCATGCAGAGGAAAAAAACGTCCGAGCTTTAGGTTGAGTTCTCTGACTTTGTGGGATTAAGTGCATAACAATTGCAACAACAATTAGAAATGATACATATGTAGCTTTCTCTAATAATGTAAAAAAAATACTAATAATGACAATCCAACAACAAAGTGCCACTCATAACCCTACCCCTTCTAAAACTTAGCCCTGATGTGACGAGTGAAAGGGTGAAGCTGGAGTGGTCATAGAAAGCCACATTTGACCACCTCTGTCACCGCGCCAAATTCCGAATATTTGCCATTTGCCGCTTAAAACCACACTGGAACAATGCCATACTGCACCTTTGTCTCATATTCTGCTTTCTGATTTTCTATTAATCTCAAGAACCAGACTACCAAAGAAGAATGTCACCATGAATAAATGAGCAGATCAATCAAAAATAACAATCGCATTATCAGGGTTTGCTTTCTAATTTCTTACCTCACATCTGGGATGGAGATATGTTTATGAAATGAAAAAATAAAACTCTTGCAAACCAATATCAAGATTATCATATTTTGTTTTCTGTAAATGCAACCCTGTGTCTTAGACCTGCACACGATGTCCGGATTCATGTTTGGTTAAAATGAGTACAACATACCAGTAAAAGCTAAAAAACAAAAAGAGGTATAGAATGTCCATAGGTTAAAGATTAAAAGTGGTGAGAGTCATATAAAGATGGCAACATATTAGCACAAACAAAAAGCGTTATTATTACTATGTTGTCTGCGAATATAAATCGTATGTAGTGAATTTATTTTCGAAGCTCTGTTAAATAAAGCCTGGCATCGGTATCAAAACAGTCCATATCAGATGCAAACAAAACATTTTAAAAAGGGGCAGTGTAGAGAACATTTCCGCTGTATAAATGCGTGCTGTGAATGTGTTCAAAGAAGGTTAAAAAATGATAGAATATGACTCACCGATCATGTGATTGGCCACGTGAATCTGGATCTCTCTCTCGGTCTCAAACGTCATTTGGCATTTGATGCACTGGTACGTCTTTTTCTAAGGGACAAATATTTTTTTTTTTAAAGTCAATACATGCAGCTATCACACATCTCCACACATATTATAATATAAACACGCATTTATGCTGAAGTGGCTTAAAACTAAGTTTAATATTGCAAATCATGTGTTTTATTTGTGTCTAGTGTTTGGATAAAGATACAGCGAGGCACTTGTCAAAAGAGTGAAGTGTAGCAGAACAGTGACAAGACAGAAGAAAGAAGCAGCAAAGTAAATCCACAGAAACAAAATATGAGAGCAGCTCTGCTTATCCATTCATGGCACACTGCGATCACTCATGCACAAACACATACAAAATACACAAAGGCCTCACTTCCTCCGCTCCCGCCTGTTACAGCCGCTGCACACACACACACACACACACACACACACGCACACACACATACGCACACACACATACGCACACACACATACGCACACACACAGTCTGTTTTGTGCTGTTAGACTAAGCAGAAACAAAGGTGCAGGTAAGATGGAGGGTCCCTGGAAACTGCTCCAACACACACCAACGCGCACGCCTGCCTGACTCCCCCCAACACGCGGCTCGTCCCGGCGAGCCTGACTGTCAATATCAAGTAGCGCGAACAGTTCCCACAATGCCACAGCACGCCCAGCCGCAGGACCCAGTGGGATGGCCTTAGACACATACATACACACACACACGCGCGCACACACACATACAATGCACACCCAAGAACAACCCCCCCCCCCCCCCCCCCCCCCATAAATATGTTGCTTGTCCCAACAGAAAGAGTGGTGTAAAAGTAACATTTTGTGAAAAAATCTGCCTCTTTTTTGGAACGCATGTTATCATTTACATTTGTGTAAGTGTCCTGTGAGTCACAGGCTTTGAGCTGGGAGCTGATTGGTTGAGTGAAAGTGGTCCTCTCGTTTTCACATTCAATAGCATCACAAAGATGTCACACGTCGATCTAGGTCAATAAAAACTGTACGTATGAGAGCACTTGTGATAGAACTAGTCAGATGTTTACGTTCTATTTGTGTGGTTTAAACGTTGTGCATCTCAGCTTTAAAGAATAATGTATATGCCAAAAAATAATAATAATAGTACATATCTTGACACACCGCAGTGTCCAAAATATAAAATCCAGTTCCTATTATGTATGTGTGTGTAATAGGCTGCTTCAGAGAACGCTCACATTACAATCTAACCTCTCACCTTCGGCGCTGGAGAAGCTTCTGCCTTTTTGGCGCTGTTTTCCGGGCTGACCTCAGGGTGGTCAGTCTGGACGTGGCTCTCCAAATCCTCCAAGCTCTCAAACTTCACCCCACACTCTGGACATCGCAGCCCGGCCAAAGGCTTCTCTCCTGCAGACTCCCCGGGTGTGGTGGTTCCTCCCTGACTGGGACTATGGCCATTCGTTCCTCTGTTGGGTTTAAATATCAAATTCAGGTCAGAAGTTAACTTTTCTGCTTGCGACCGTGCTTTAATTCTGATGATACCACTGTAAAAAATGTAAAATAGATCATCTTTTCTTTTGTCTTGATATCGTTAGCAGCACATGTATAGGAGAGGGGTGACAGGATGGTACAAACCTGCTCATACAGCCGGAGCAGAGGCCATAAGGCAGACCGTTGACATCCAGCTTCACCAACTCTCCTTTGTTCTTGAACTCCTTGAGGCAGAACGCACATTTATACAGCTTGTGTTGCTGCAGCTGCCCATTGGGAGATGAAGAGGCTGAACCATTCCCTCCTCCATTGCCTCCTCCGGCCACGGCTCCACCCAGAGATGACCCTGAGGAGAGCTTTTGCATGTGAAAGGTGCCGTGGATTTTAAGCTCCAGCGTGGAGGTGACGGTTTGCATGCACACCACACAGCGGAAGCCCGTCAGAGAGTTGCGGAGGTCAGGGTGCATCTGACAGTGCTCTATGAACTCCTCCTCGCTCTGCAGAGGCATCTTACAGATCCGACAGGTGCCAGTGTCCAGACTTTTACTGTGGGTCACCTGCAAACAAGACAAAATTATTCAATCAATTACTGTGCCCTTTGATTGAAAATCTATAATCTGACATGACGTTTTCAGATTTTCATGAATTAAACATGGCTAATAATTAAATGACATATTGCATACAGGTAGAACTAGATCTGTGAATGTGTTCAGAACATCCACATTGAGCCGCAGTTCTGTGATGCTGCCACAGGAAAACATCAAAACACAAGACGAGACACAAATGTTGCTCTCTGACCCAGGATACAGGTCATGTAGACACTGCCTGAAAATGAGATCAGCTCCGCGTGGACATTGCCTCAATTTAAAAGTGAAGACAAAGTGTTGGGAGACTATTGAAAATAGCCCATTACATATTTTCATTGATGAAATACTACATTGTGCAAGCATGTACATTACAATAACAACTATTATTTTGCGAAAGTGTTGAAATGAGACAATTCTCTGAACCAAATCAGAAAATGCCTGCAGCTCCAGCTGTGGCACCGTGTTTATGTAAACATATTTAACACTGTTGGTATAATAGCTTGAGCTGCATTGCACAACACATTTTTGAATATGCAAACATTTTCCTGTAGGGTGGTAAGCACAAATTATCTCTCGGAAGAGGAGTTTTCAAGTCACAATTCAAAAGTTGAGCATTAGAGGAGGTGCACTAAGAGGAAGTATGATGAACAAACAAACAACCCCGAACACAGATAGTAGTGAGTGCATGCTCAGCCTGTTCTTATCCTTCAAGGAACATTTCAATGATTTCTCTTGTTCTGGTGTAAACTACCCCGTGTCAGTCACTCTCAGACTCACCTTGTGCTCTGTGAGCGTTAGCAGAGAGGGGAAACGCTCTCCGCAGATGGGACACATGTAGTGCTTGGCTGGGCCGCGGTGTGTCTGTGCGTGCTCTCGAAGCCCATTCTCAGAGAAGAACGTCCTGGAGCACACATTGCACTTGTGGTTTCCTTTGATGAAGTCTGCCTTTTTCTTTCGGGAACCTGTCGAAACAAAGTATCTGTCCGTTTCGCCGTGATCTCAGGCCAATGTACGAGGAGTTAAACTTGAGGGAAAGCTCACCTGCGTCATCCTCTCCAGGTCGAATGTTGTGATCCCGCAGCCGATGGTTTTGTAATAAGGACTCCATGGTATAGGCCGCTCCACAGATATCACAGGCATACATGGGCTCTGAATTGTCCATTTCTTCCTCTCCTCCACTTGCCTCATGGCTATTCGCTGCGTCTCCGCTCGGACCACCTGCCACCACTCCACTTTTGAGCAACATGTTCTGAATTTCAGCTTGCTCCGTCGCTGCCACACTCACGCGGTCGACTCCTCCTGAATTAGAGCCACTGCCTCCCCGTTTGGAGGGCTGTGTGAGGCCATTGGGGGTCCCGTTCTGGCTGCTGCAGCTCCCGGTACCTCCTCCATTACCAGTTATGGTTGCGCCATCGAAGATGCAGTGCTTCTCTCTCAAGTGTCTCTCGAGCAGTGAAATGGCATGGAACGCTTTGCCACAGAAGCGACAAGTGAACTTCTTGCTGTGAGTCGTGATGTGACACTGGAGCTCTACTTCAGTGCCAAATGTCTCTCCACAGAAAATGCACTTCCTTGGTTTAAGGCCTGAGAGATTAAGAAATGAGATGAAAAGAAATTGTCAGCAGAGGCAAAACATTGGTCAGAAAAGTCATTCAAAACAATTGTAGGAAAATCTTTCTGCATTGATATATTAAGATAAAATACAACTGAAAAATGCGACGCCATCTCGCACTCAGTAGTACAGCACGCAACAACATGCCTACCAAAACAAGGAAGAAACTTGAGAGTAAAGTAGCCAAAGAGTAATGTAGAGCCAAACATAATGTAGAGAGACGTTTCTACCAATTAAAAATGTAATGTGTATGAAAATAATGTTTCACTGTTTATTATTGTGCCCAGCCCCAATGACGTGTTGGCACAAATGTGTGGGTTGCCAAGAAGATATGAAACACAGTAGAGGACCGGCCTAACATTAGATGAAAGACGGAAGAGGATCAAAATAAAAGTGGTGGCCCTGCGGAAAAGTTCACTCTTATTTAAATATCTTTGAATAAGAGTGAAATTAATATTTACACATCATCTGCCTCCTCCACGTGTCATTGTTTTTCTACATGACGTCAACCATTAAGTGCTATACTGATTGAGTAACAGCAGACTGTACCTGCTCCAATCCCCCCTGGCAGGCCCGACCTCTGGCCCAGATGGTTGTGTTTGACGTGGAGCTGGAGGTCGGTCTCTTTTCTGAAGTCCCAGGCACAAGCTGTGCAGCGGAAGAGCTTCTTCTCATTGCTATGTTTTACCGCCAAATGCACCTATGTGAGCAGATGTGGCGAAAATCCCAACAAGATTATTACCAATATGTTCGTGAAGGCACTCCAGATGCTTTTAAAAAGATAATTTCATTGTTTATTTGCATACATGAAAAAGAATCACATACCTGGATGGAGACCTTGGAGTCGAACACTTCCTGGCAGAGAGTGCAGTGGTATAAGACAAACGTGTGCATGTCCAGCAGGTGCTTTTGTAGATCGTCCACAGAGGAGAACTGCTTATCACAACTCTCACAAACATACTGGGTGGAGGTGGTGGTGTAATGCACTGTCAGGTGTTGCAGCAAAGCCTCCTGGGATTCAAAGTCCTCCTTGTTGCACTGCGGACACGACTGCCGCCTCAGCAGCATCTCTAAATGTGACTTGAGATGGGCCTGGAAACCTTCAAAGCTGGAGAACCTCATGTCGCACTGGTTACATGGGTAATCGCCGTTACTCCCTACAGAAGGTGTCGAGTCCCCGCCCATTCTATGACGTTTGGGGGAAGAGATCTCCACATCGGAAGAGGCTGGGCTAAGATCGGCCATTTTTGCCTGCCGCTTGTTGTTGGCCAATGGGATGTTTTTGTGGTTTTCCTTTATGTGCTTGGTGAGCTTGAGGAGGGAGCCGAAGATGGGAGAGTTGGTGCAGTACGGGCAAGAATAAACCTGCAGACCACAAGAATACACAATAATGCCGATTCTAAATAAGTGAAACAAAATGTGTTGTACCACACTATGTTAAACTTGCTGATTAGAAGTGATTAAAGGGTATTCAGTTTAGGCCTAGATGAGCAGCGTTTCATTACACACTTCATTAGGCTTTGATGAAATGTACTAAAATGGGCGTTTTGTCTGTTAGAGATTACCATTTAATGTAGAACCACTTTCAGGGCAAAACCAGATTGTTTTTAAATACAATACAAACATAATTCTTTTTAAAAGTTTCTGGGAAATTTAACACTTTTCCTGTTGCTATTGCTCTGAAGAGGATTTCTATAATATTGGGCTTCTCACCTCCATAAAAGACTGAGATGCGGTTTGTAAAACAGGGGATTCTAGTTTGGTCACACCTCCTCCAGACCCAGATCCGCTGCCTAAAGCTGAGGTACAGTGTGTCTGCTGTATATGTTCCGTTAATGAAGACTCCGTTAAAAATCCCATAGAGCACTGGTTGCAGAAGAAAGCGTGGTTTCCTTCTGCAAAGACAAATATAGTTTAATTGAAGGAAAACAAGACAAAATGCCTTCACAAAGTAACTTCAGCAAACCTAGAGTGGTGGACCCTGCCACGATGCCCCCTGGCAGACAGTGGGACACCCGGATGTGTTCCTGGAGAGAGTTTATGTCGGCGAACATGTCAGGGCAGTAGTTACAGTGGAACGCCGTGACATTGGTGAACTGCAGCAGGGGGAAAGAGGCGGCTGCTGCACTCCCACCTGAGCTGGAGCGGTGGGCCTTCCGCACGTGTTCATTCAGGTTGTAAAGGGTGGGCAGTGTTTCCAGGCACAGCTGACACGTGTGGCTCTGCTGAGGCTTATCTGCATGGATGGTCTTCAAGTGGATCTCCAGCACGGCCAGACTATGGAAGTCTCTCTTGGAGCAATAAGGGCATGAATAGGTGACTTTCGACCAGTTACCACCTAGGGAATAAAATGAATATTGAAGACTTGGAGGCCCTCATTGTTATATTTGCACTTAAAGCTCTGGTATCTAATATGCAAACCAGAAAAATGAAGATATGCAATAATTTTCTTCCTCTATAACAGTTCTATAAATAAGCGTAGATCAGCTATTAGAGGCAGAAAAGTTAGGAATACCCTCAATCAGCCAATCAGCTCGCAGACCAAAGTGTCAAATAGTGACTCATGGGGGCCCTTTTTCCAAGTATTCAAAAGATAAGATGTTAACTATCAAGATAATTGCATTTTGGTATAGTTTTTCACAGTATTTTATCATTACAGGAATCTTTCTGTGTGGACAAACAACAAGTAAAACAAAAAAGCTTGTTATGAGAACTATAAAACCTGCCTCCAGTTTGATGTCCCAGACTGATCCCCAGGTCTTCAGCTGTGTCTGTGCCTCTCCTCCGCACTCGCTCACTGCCCTGGTTAGGCTTCAGGGTGGAGTCCGGTGTGGAGCCCCTCTCGAGGCTCGCACTTGAGTCTGGAGTGGCAGAACTCATAGATGCCACACTGCCCAAGGGTGGGTCGGGACTTGCCGCACTGTGATTGGACGAGTCTGGCTGCCGATGGCTGTCTAGGTGGCAGTAGACATCCTCCACAGAAGGAAATTGCTCAGAGCACACAGGACATCTAAAACACACAGAAATGACCAACATAGTGTATTGCTAGAAGTTTATGGTTTTAGAAGTTATAAAGCAAAAAGCAAAGTGTAATAGTACTTGTGTTTGCGGTTGGCATGCTGGGTTTCGATGTGTGTTAGTAGGGAGGCCTCGTCTAGAAAGATCTCGGGACAGTGGATGCATTGTAAGTCGGCACGGTCAGACAGCTGGGGGTGTCTGGTCAGGACGTGTTTCTCCAGCTCGTCAGTCTGGCTGAACGTCTCCTCGCAGTAATCACACATATACAGGTCCTGCTCTAGGTCGCCTTCTCCCACGGAGCCTCTCTTGCCCCCGTCCCGGTCTCCCCTCAGGGCGAGGTGCTCTCTGTTCTTACGGTGAGCCTGGGACAAACAAAAAGCATGACTTACAAAATAACAATACTTGCACTGGCGTATTTATTTAGTAAAACAACGCTGAGGTCATAAGAGTGAAGCTTTGAGTTTAACTACCTGCATGTGGCTCTGCAGAGATGATGTAGAAGAAAAACCTCGCTTACACACACTACACTTAAAGGGTTTGCTGGAGCTGAATGGGAAACAGCAACAAAACACGACAATGAATACATAAAGAATCACTTGTTTAGACAAATGTTTATTTTGGAAGACAAACCTGTGGGTTTTGAGATGGATTTTTAAATGATCTGAGCGAGAAAAAGCAGCTTCACACTCCTGACAACTGTACTTCTTGTCTCCTGTTTAAAAGACACACACTTGCTGAAGAAAGGGCTGAAATACAAAGTTGCTTGGAAGCGTATTGTGCATACCGGTGTGCAGTTTGACATGGCGATCTCGACTCCTCTTGTGTTTGAACAGGCGGCTGCAGAAGGTACACTTGAAAGGCAGTTTGTCGCTATGTATCTGCTCGTGACGTTTCAAGTAATTCAGACGACTGTGAGAACATCAGAAATGAAATGAAGCAATATTCTTAAAAAAGCCTCACTGTATCTTCAGTATCTACAATTATGTCTACTAAGGCATGGTTTTAAAATTGATGAAAATAGGGGAATGTTCCTACAGTACATTAATCATGGAATCATTTTTACATAGCCAATCTGAAATATATAAGTGTTTTCATCGATAGCTTTCAAGGTTGAAAATGCAGTGAATCATCTTTGTCAACAAATGAGGTTATCACTCATGTCCCTAACCCAGTGTGAAGCAGGCTGCAGCCTCCCCGGGAAGCCACGTACCTGAAGGACTTGTCACAGAACTGGCAGGGGTAGGGCAGACCGGTCCCTCCTTCCTCCTCTCCACCCGTGGCCATGCCCAGGTCACAGCCGTCGGGCATCTGTGAGGGAGAAGCCACGTCTTTACTGGAGGGCGAGGATGGCACCCATGAGAGGCCGGCTGGGTCATCGTCACCATCTGACAGACACAGACAGAGTATGTTACGGACGCTCACAAAAACAACTCGTGTCATTGCAGGGATTGTTAGTTTCCTTTTGTGATATGGGAAATCAGATATTTTGAGTTTACATTTTGAGTGAGCTAGACTGGTGACTTGACAAGAAAATCTTAGAGTAGATACATAGTTAAGATGCAAAACAGGAGAAATATATGAAATGGGAAAAATTCAGTGTCAGGTGAATAAAATAAAACAACATAGAATATCAATTAGATTAAACATTTGTATGTTAACAAGATATACAAGACAAAGTGGTGTCCGACAACCAGATTGACATAACAGCATTGAGTATCATACATATACATAGACAGAAAGACACAGACACATAACTCGGAAAGTTAAAAATATTGTTAAAAGAATAGAATATTCCTGTCATTTGATTTAAAATATGAAACCAATATATAATATAGACTCTATACATGCAAAGTGATAAACCTTTGTTACTTATCCCTTTGATAATTATGGTTTACAGTCCATTTTCAAGACATTAAAAAAAAAATTAGCATTTAAGACTAATTTTTGGGGTTTCACTTTAACCAAAAATGTCCAATAGACAAGGCGTATTTGCCATGCGTGTACTGTCTCTACATAACAAAAGTAGAAGGTAAACCATGGAACGTTTGAAATATTATGACAAAGTTCCGTCTTTCTTGGAAGGCACAACAAAGCGGCCTGAGGGAGTTTAAAATGAGAGTAAGCGCATATAAACAAAAAAAATAAACACATTTATCCTGGTTATTGTACAGGGGGAAAATGAGGATGGCAAAGATAAAGCAGGAGAATAAAACAGAAAAGAGATGCACTCCGGCAGCGGCTGCAACATCTAAATAGAAAGCTCCAAGAACTATGTATCCCCGACGGAGCCCAGAAATAAGGACAGAGTGTATTTTCTCTCCCTCGTCCTCCCTCTGCTGCCGTGCCTCCCCTCTCTCCCCCTCACCCATCCCTCCATCCGTCCCCGAGGAGCCCAGATCCGCCTCATCATATTTTCATTAGGGCCCTGGCAGATTGAAACGTCGGAAAAGCGATTAGGAGATGTGGAGAGCCGAGCGGAAAGATGGTGATATTCTCTTGCCTTTATCTGTCATACATAGCAGATTATGCATAGTTCTCTTTTGCCTTTCTCTTTGTGCCGTTCCTCCTGTGCAGCGAGTGACAAAAAGGCCACGACTCCTTAAATAGGCACTTCAGAAAAGGATTCAGGGTGACAAAAGAGGGGCAGAATAATTCTTTATTCGTCTGTGCGTTACAAGGAAGAGCGCATGGCAAGGGTTAGGTGCTTTAGCATTTGCACACAGACAGACTTTATGCTTAAACCAAAACAAAATTAAATTAAACAAAATTGGTATAAAGGAAAAATTAAAAAAAGATTGTCGATTACTAGTAATAAATATATGGGAGGAATGTTTGCATTTTGGAAATCAGCTCACACTGACGAGGGAGTTTAACTTGTTTTGGCTATGTAAATAGTGCATTGCTTGTCAGATAGATCTACACACCTGTCAAAAGCAAATAACAAGTCTTCTATTATAATTATATGTGTTTTGCGTCTGTGCAAGTTTACGGTGGATTTGCCGGGAGGGGATGGAAAACAGAATCTTGTGATGTATCGATCTCCAGAAAAATGTAGGCACTGCGATGAGCAAATAGAACTCTGCAGGGGGCCTGGCAAGTTAAAAAAAATGTAAAAGGCATGAATTATAAATTTGTCTGGAAGCAAGAAGGAAAAATGGCTTAGGAAAAAGCAAGGGATAGAGATATCAACACGAGCGGTAAGGCAGGAGGCAGAGCGATGTGTTGACAGAGAGGGAAGAGTAAAACAAACAGTTCCCCATCGTATGTCTGTTCAGTGACAGAGCTGTGGAGGAAATACATTTATAGGCGATACCAATATGGAAGCCCTCTTGAATGCAAAATCCAACCATGTCAATTGGCGGCGTTTTGTACAATAAATTAGATTAATTTCAGAAATTTACACGAAGCAAAAAAAGTTCAGAGTAGTAGTATTTGTAATCGGTATCAACAGTCAGACAGATCAACTGTCACTTTAACTGTAAACATTAGGGTAATTTTCTTTTCAAAAAAGTCAAAGAGGAAGTATGAGGGGGAAATCAAAGGGACTCGCTGGGATCGGACTTGAGGGAAACACTTTTTGTATGGGGTTGGCTGGGAGGTGGGGAGGTTGTTGAGAAAGAAGGGGAGGAGAGATTAGCGTCATTAAAGAGCCTTAATCCTCTGACTAGCGTGGCTGGCGCTAAAATGGAGGATCACACGGCTTTTTAACGGCGCCTTTGTTAGTGGGCCACGAGGGGACCGGGCAAGACAAGGCCCAATGGCAAACTGGGAAAAAGCGGAGGGTGGTGGAGGGGGGGTGCAAAATATTTCAATGAAAAGTTAAATTAGAGGAGGATTCTCGAGAGGAGCCTGAGATGAGGAGAATGGCTGGCCAAAGGGAGGTGGAGGCGAAGAAGCTAAAGTGGTTGAAGAGAAAGACAAAACCAGGCAGGAGCACGCAGACGCCGACACATGCTGCTCTTCTCTGGTGCCACAAACGAAGCAGCGCGGAGTACCACAGGGCCCCGCACTTGCTCCGCTTTATCTCTAGCACTGCAGTCTCCTCTCCCCTCCATCCCTCCCTCCCTTCCTTCGCCAGCTTTCATGTCGTTACTCATTATAGCGCTGACACATCTCCACACGTCCCGCCAGCTCTCTGACTGCTTGTCCCCTACCGGCACTGGCCTTGACCCCTGTGTCTCAGCCTGGACAGGACCAAGGGACAGAGGGAGGGGACACTCCAGATGGACAGACCAGAGGAGAAATACAACAGAATGAGAAGAAGAGTAGAGAGGAGAGGTGAGAGCAGGGGGTCTGGGATAAGACATGGAATTCACCCAAAAGTGTTGGACGAGACGGACCGCCTGAGTGCACCTGATAGGACTCCGGCTCATGGTGCGCAGCTCGATAATGGGCCAGACGATGTGAGGCCTTGGTGAAACACTCTAATGAAGGGACACCCACGCTGCTCTCTTCATGTCTCTCAATCTCCCCCATCCAAACAGAGTTACACAAAGAAGACTTATCAAAGCTGTTGGCCTTTTAAAAATGAGCATAAAACTAAGCGTACTAACATTTTAACAGACCACACCTTGTTTGGGTGTATATCCAAATTCAATGTTTAGGCAGCCTGACAATATGGAAGTCAAACATTAACTTTGATATACATATGGTGTTCTGAAGATTTTTGTCACTTGGCAGTTAAAAGCCCATGGTACAATCTCTGCTTATAAGGCTGCACAGTAGCGGAGTGAGTTCTTGCATCAAAGCAAGAAGGTTGTGGGTTCAATCTCTGCCAGCCCAGGCCTTTCTGTGTGGAATTTGCATGTTTCTCCTCGTGTCTGGGAGGGTTTCCTACTGACACCCAATAATATGCACCATAGATAAAAATGCTCCGGCTCTTGCAGCCCTGACCAAGCTGAGCATGAGCATCTGGAGCAAGGCCCCAGGCACTGCACTGTGGTGACCACTGCTCTTGACAGGTTGCCATTGAAGGATGGGTCAAATGCAGAGGACAAACTCCAATGTGGTGTTTAGTGGAAACACATATAACAATTATTTCCATTGGAAAATAAAGCTCAGTGAAATGGTACATGCTGACTAAATGACTGACAGGGAAATTAAAGCCATGTATGTCATTTTCCCTCTTTTCTGGTGCTTTGATGTTTGAATCAAAGGAGCTCAGCTGGTTGCTGAAAAAAGGTTTTTGATCCACAAGCTGCTTCGTCAAGTGCTGAAGCTGCTACAGTTATACGTACAATGAATGAGTGATGCAAAGGGAAATTGATCCAAGTAAAATGTGCATTAACCCATTTGTAGCTGAATAGTCAGGCCAATTATCTATTAGTCGTAACATTATTGCTGAAAACCTTGATTGCATATGAATTGAAACACTTTCCCTGAACAGTGCTCAAAGCCCTCCCACCCTCACACCCCCATCTGACAGTTCCTCCTTCCTGCTTGGCCATTGGCCCAGACCAGCACCTTTCCCAGGGAGACCCCTGCTGACCTCCTCCATCTTTCTACCCCTCTTCTGCTCCATCCCTCCATTCTGCGCTCCCCAGGCCCCCTCGGATGGCCCCAGGCTGCCCCAGGCGTGCACACACTCACAGCCCTGCACTCGCCATAGGGGGCAGAAAAACAACTTCCACCCTTGGCTCACTCAGGGCAGCTCGGCGCACACTCCTGCTTTCACTCTCACACACAATTAAGGTACTATTGCATACTCCACAGTCAAGTGTAATGAAAAACAAACCTACAATTTCCAATCTGTGTCGCCACCTGCCAGTTACAATAATAGCTCTTGTTCCCTTTCTGATTCAAGCAGCAACTCAGCCCCAGAGCAGTTGAAGTAAGTTTCCTAAACATATTATTTGTTTTTAATGGTTCAGACATCATATTTTCACACAGAGCTTTGTTCCACTATGTGAAAAGCAGACAGTGTACCTGCCTTAACAGTGGTGACCGAGTAATGAACCGCTCATTGTCTACGGCTGTGCTACAATCCTCTAAAGCATTTGCAAAATAGTTCACGTTGCACATGGGATGCCGAGACAAGAGAAAACAAGAAAGATCCCTACCTAGCTTGGTGATTACCGTCAAGAGTTGGCATGGCAACCGATAAGCTCAGCACAGCTTACTGGTTGCCATGCATTTTAAGAATTGCACAGTAGGATGATTTATTTGACCAGTCAGATTGTGTTTGGCTCGAACTACCTGTTGTGTAGTCTATCTGATACAGCTGTGCGGAAGAAGCTGGAATTCTTTCCCCTAGAAACTCACAGGATGTCTTCATATTGTTTGCCTTCAGAATAAATATCTCACTCGTGACAGCAGTGCACACACGACAAACCCCAGAATAGAGTATTATTGCAGGTCTGTCTTTATATTGTCTAAGTAAATGGAA